GGAAGGAAGGAAGGAAGGAAGGAAGGAAGGAAGGAAGGAAGGAAGGATTGGAAGAAGAAAAGAAAAATGAGGATTGGTCAAAGCCGGCAAAAAATTGATGAAAAGTACAGGAAAGAAAAGGAAATGAAAGAAAAGAAAAAATAATGAAAGGAATAAAATAATTAATTGAGCTAGAAAAGAACAGACAAAGGAAGGAAAGAATAAACAAAAACAGAAAGAAGGACAAATCAATCAACCTTTATTTATACAGGTAAATCCCATTGAGCCTCGAGGACTCATTTACAAGAGAGACCTGATTTCAACAAAGAAAGATGACAACAATGGACAACAGCAACAACAATAAGCAGTTATAAAAACTCATACTACAGTTTTTTTTTTTTTTTTTTTTTTAACAAATAGGATGGCTAAAAGGAAAAAGGTAACAAAACAAAAAAAACAGCTAGATTCCAAGACAAATGTATAAAACTAAAAACAGGAACATGTCTGCATTGGTCCCTGCCAGGAGTCCAACAGATTCTTAAAGCCACTTAGAGAGGTCAAGGTCGAGAGCTTCAAATCTTCAAATGAGAGAAACTTATCAGTTTTTGAAGATGGAAGGAGAGCTGGTGGAAGTAAAGAAGAGCATAAAACGACTGGATGTAGCTGGAAAAACAGAATCAAGGAATGTACTTTAGGATGGAAGGAGTTCAGGAAGGTCAAGAGGATGGAAGAAAAGAGTTGCAAGAAAGAAAGTGTGAAGAAGATGTGTGTGGCTGAACGAAGGAGCAAACAAATAAACAAAAACTTAAAAGAAGGGAACGGTGGTGCAGTTGGTAGAGCTGCTGCCTCTCAGCGAGCAGGTTATCCCCAGTTCAAACCCCGGTCCAGGGGCCTTTCTAGGTGGAGTTTGCATGTTCTCTCCGTGCATGCGTGGGTTTAATCCGGGTACTCCGGTTTCCTCCCACAGACCAAAAACATGCATGTTAGGCTGATTGGTAACTCTAAATTATCCCTAAGTGAGAGAGTGAATGGTTGTTTGTCTTGTTTATCTCTGTGTGACCCTGTGATGGACTGGAGACCTGTCCAGGGTGTCCCCTGCCCCTTGCACAATGATAGCTGGACATGGGCACCAGTGACCCCCGCGATCCGGAAAAAAGGCAGAAGCGGGTAAAGATAATGGATGGATGGATAAAAAACAAAGGATGGATTGACTGATCTGGAAGGGAAACAGTGATGAGAGAACAGACTCAGAGAGAAAGCAAAGAGAAAAAGAGAGAGAAGCACCAGCTGACAGTAAATGAGCCGACAGACTGGAGGACAGTGTGACAGAGACAGAGCAGAGAAGAAGGACCGTCACGACTTGCGCTCCATCAGCTGCTGTAATTTAGTTCACAGTTCACAATGACCATAATGAATCTTTTATCGCTTCTTATGGGACATTAACACCAACGGGGTACTTAGCCTCACAGACACAGCTGTCACCGACACTTCGCTCAAACTCAGACGCACTAAACGCATCCAAAGTAAATACACTTGGTAAATAACGTGTTACTGAAACGACAAACACTCCTTCATTTTGCTGTGACTTCTTTTCCTGCGTCCGCTGCGTTGAATCAGTAGATTCGATTGGCCGAGATCAAAACAGAAATCTTTGTGTCAGGTTTTCTGTTCTGCTGCATGATGGTAAAAGCTGCAAGAAATAGATTAGAAGAAAAAAAATTGGAGTGGGGATGCAATAACCGAAAGCATCATTGAATATATTTACATGATTACGTTTTAATGCAAACTGCTTTTCTTCATGTTAAGCTGCAGCCCCTTTGTTCGAAGCTGGAGAGAAATACAACGTTTTAACCTCGTTTTCATTCAAATCTTTTAAATTAATCCAGCGGTTAAACAAACCAACCATGAACGTTCTTTTTTTCATTGTGTCTGATTTCATGTCTCTTTTAAAACATGTGTTTCTATGGTAATTATTAAGGATGCACAATATCAGAGAGTCAGAGATTCTTTATTGTCGTTCGCGCCACATGTGGTACATGTGGTGGAGCGAAATTATGTACACAGGGTCCCAGTTACATCCAACAATAAAATGTAAAAGAAAAACAGTAATAACATCTAAGATATGAACTAAGAAAAACATTAACTAAAAATACACTAAGCACTCATAACATAAAAACATTATGACGAACAGCAGCACGAACATGAGCATGTCTGTGTGAGCTGATGAGCATGCATGAACACATCAACATGAAACAGATCAGCAGCAACATGTTGTGATTTTCACAGTGATTATTCTGGTTAGAGATTCATGAGTCTAACAGCCTCAGGGTAGAAGCTGTTCCTCAGTCTAGTGGTTCTACACTTAATGCTCCTTAACCTCCTTCCTGAGGGGAGTGGGGCAACAAGTGTGTGTGGTGTGTGAGTGAGGTCCTTCATGATGCAGGTGACCCTCTTCTTGCATCTGGAGGTGTAAATGTCTGTGATGGTGGGGAGGCTGACTCCAACAGATTTCTGTGCAGCCTTCACCACTCTCTGCAAAGCTTTTCTTTCTGCAGCTGTGCAGCCTCCATGCCGCACATTGATGCTCGAGCACAGGATGCTCTCCACTGCACACCTGTAGAAGGAGGTGAGGACTGAGCTTCCCAGAC